ATCAAAAAAGTACTCCAGAGTGTTGTTCAGCATGGGGGTGAGTAGAAAATGAAGGCTAATCATGTTTTGGGTGTACTATTCCTTTAAACGATCTCTGGGGCTTAATGCGGATGTTTTCTTTTGGTCATCAGTTCTTGGTGACATGGCACACTATCGACGCCGATTCTCCTGAGCTGAGTCACATCTTGTGTTGGGCTCCAGCCGACCCGCCCACCGGGCTGTCCTACTTCAGCAGCATGTACCCTCCTCATCCTCTCACTGCGCAATATGGAGTCAAAGTGCTGCGCTCTTTTCCTCCAGTGGGTCACACACCTGTGATTCTTAAATCCAGCAAATTGGAGAAATGTTCTTTTTTCTTTGATAGCACAAACATTTTTATTTATGTTCACAGGACGCCATCTTGTTCTACATTCCGCAGATCGTTCAGGCGCTTCGTTACGATAAGGTAAGGACCAACTTGAACTACTTTCTTCTCAAGCATTAAGTCATAGATCGGCTGAATAAAACCTTCCTTCGATTCAGATGGGTTATGTGAGGGAGTACATCCTGTGGGCGGCACAGAAGTCTCAGCTCCTCGCCCATCAGTTCATCTGGAACATGAAGACCAACATCTTCATGGATGAGGAGGGACACCAGAAAGACCGTGAGTCTCAATGTTAACTGATGAGGTCACGCTTCTGTAAACACAGCCATGTTTACAGGAACGGCACGGCTTACATTATTTATGAAAAGAGAAATGTAGATTAGAAAGTACGCCAAGAGGCAGCAGATTTCTAAGCAGACAAGAACTTTTTCTACATGCATAAATCATTTAATCACGTTTTAGTGTGACCAGATCTAAAAACTAAAACAAATGTGGGACAGCTAGGACGTATATGAGGGACAATGCAGCTGTCTCAGCTGTGCGTTTCTTTGGTGTTTCCTTACTCTGCGTTCCTCTCATCTCAAACTTAAAAATGACTTCGGCAAACCTCAGAATAAGCTCTCTGAGAATCACCTTTCACTGACTCACTCATTCCCTTTTCCCACTGGCTCATGTAATTGAAAAATTTATATAATGATTTATGCTATTTACTCACTGAAAAAAGCTTTTCTACTCAGTATGTTTCACCTGCAAGGTGTTTGTAGACAAGACACAGGGCTGCCAACTTTTCCCCAAACCTTAGAGTGAGATTTTGAAATAGTTTGGACAGGCCACCCTTGTCATCTTTAGATTGAAAGGCTCTGAGGATACGTGCAGCTATAGGTTGGAGGTTTTCAGAGGATTTACCGTAATATTCTGACTATAAGCTGCACCTGAATATAAGCCGCAGAAGCTAAATTGCATGATTTGTACATATACAAGCCGCACCGGACTATAAGCCGCAGGTTTTTTTTGTTTAATGTCCGTCTTTCTCGCTGTCGTTCTGTCTCGTACCACTCGCGGTAGAAGTCTGCTTCCGGAGGACCTCCGTATTCCCCCGCGCGCAGCTACCGTACTTGTGTGTCGAAGCAAATGTGATGTCAACATCCTGGATGGTAAAATCCATAGATTTAGGTATTACCCTAGTGCAGTGGTTCCCAAAGAGTGGGGTGCGCCCCCTAGGGGGGGCGCAATGCCATTGCAGGGGGGGCGCGGGAAGCAGTATGGATGAATGAAGAAAAAAAA